TGAGCAAGGACTGCTCTGCACTTTCCCATTATGCAGAGACTGGACAAATTATACAGCCAACTCCCCCAGGACTTGACAATTAACCCCAAATATTCTTTTCAAGACCCCCTAAAGATGCCTTCACCTCCAGACAGCAAGAAGTAATTTTATGAACATGACACTCACATTCCCAAGAGGTGGGGTGGGTGTGTTTTGGCCTTCAATGGGTCATGGATAATTGTCATTGTTTAGGATGGTTGGTTACAAGTTGTTAATTGTTAGTGGTCAAGGAGAAAGCTAAACAAAGGAAATTAGATTTGGGGTTCTTGTTTAAAAAAGAAAAAGATAAAAGAGGATATAGAAATGATAGGGAGAAAGGTAGATTATTGAATCTACTCTGAAAAAAAGAGATATAGAAATAATAGGATAAAAAGGTAGATTATTGAAAAAAAAGAGGATATGGCTATATAAGATAAAACGGCAGATTATTGAATCTACTTTTACAAAGCAGCTACTAGCTTTAAATATTTTTCATTGGATTGGATTTTTGTATATTGTATATAAATTATGTATATTGACACAAATTTGAGACTGATTTTGTTAGAAAATGCTGTACATATAGTTCTAACCTTGTTCAAGGTATTGTACCTATACAGCTCATTTAAGAATTTAATGCAAATTGCTAGTCCTTGAAAGCTATTATTGCCAACTAATTAGGATACAAAGAAATGCAAGTTAGTAATTAGTCACCTATTACAATCAACTTGTCATATTAGGTATGTTTTCAAGGTCAAACAGAAATATATTTTAGATAGACAGGTCATCTTCAAACACTTCAGAGATCTACAGCATATGGCATTTAAGATATTTTTTTTTTAAATTTATTTTAATTTATTTTGCAATACAATTCAGTTCTACATATCGGTCATGGATTTCCTTGTTCTCCCCCCTCCCGTCCTGGCATTTAAGATATTTTAATAACATGGATTCTTTCTTTTTTTTATGATGATGAAACATGTCTGCTCCTGGCAGCACTAATATATTTCAGAGAAGATAATTAGCATTGAATAAACTCCATATGGAGTTTACTTTCTTTGTGGTAAGTTAGCCACTGGGCAAGAAAATGCTTTTGCCTTGTCTGCTGACAGTATGTTGTCCAAAATGGACAAGCAGGACACAAAACAAAGGACTGCCGAACTTTGCCAAGACAAGATAGGAAGGTCCTTTAGAAAATCCTGCTTCACAGATGAGTCTGTCAGATATGCCAGACCTTTAGGCTAAAGATGAATGCCCCAACGTTGCAGAGAACTCTTGGGTGACTGTCCAGGCAGCCAGCTGTTTCTGTCATTTCTCACATTTTTCTTGGAAGTTGCTTGTTTGCACTTCCTGCTTACTTAGGTAATATTATTTCCTTCTTGGGTCCCTGAGGGAATTGAAGATTAAATAGTTATAGTTTTCCTTGTTAACAAATCCAGAAAAGAAACTTACTTGTAGTAAGTTTCTTACTTGTAGGTGTAAAGTGCATAAGTTTGAAAGACATCAAAGTGAAATCAAAGGTGAATTAGGCACAACATTTTGGACTCACCAAGATAGGATAAATAATTGAGTATTTTCTCATTCTGAATTTGTCAAATGTTAGTGGACTGGACATTGTTACTATAATTCTTGACTGTATATATTGTATATATTTATTGTACTTATTGTATATAGTTTTCTTATAATAGTTATAACCTTTTTTTATTATTTTAGACAAAAAAGTGAAAATGTACTGATATATTGTGTACCCTAATAAACCTGCCTGAGGATCAGAGGACAGAGCCAGCCACTAGATTAGACATACAGGTCAGGAGTGATGGCACACACTTTTAATCCCATCACTCGAGATCTCATGCCTTTTTTTGAGAAGCACACACACCTTTGATCCCAGGAAGTAATATGGCAGGGCAGAGAAAGGTATATAAGATGTGAGGAAACAGGAACTCACTCTCTTTAGGCTGAGGATTTCCTAGAGGTAAGAACTAGTGGCTGGCTGTTCTGCTTCTCTGATCTTTCAGCTTTCACCCTGATATCTGGCTTTGGGTTTTTTATTAAAAGAGCATCTAAGATTCAAACAACAGGAGAGGAAGAGGGAGACAGACAGAGAGAGAGAGAGAGAGAGAGAGAGAGAGAGAGAGAGAGAGAGAGAGATCTGAGGCTTTGGGTTTTTTATTAAAAGAGCATCTAAGATTCAAACAACAGGAGAGGAAGAGGGAGACAGACAGAGAGAGAGAGAGAGAGAGAGAGAGAGAGAGAGAGAGAGAGAGAGAGATCTGAGGCAAACTAGAAAGGTTTAATGACCAAATGGACAAACTGGAAAGCTGTTGTAAGAAAGGGTGACTCAAAGGATTGGAATCTCAGAATCTATGTGGATAAGAGCAAGAAGACGGAAAAGTCATTTGATATAAAGTTAAAGGAAAACATGTCACAATTTGAGAATGGGGTTGACTTGAGTAAAGAGCAAACTGGAATGTGGTAAAGATAAGCCCTGCTGTGCTGGTGTGTAGCTCAACAGGTAAAAACGCTGTTTTTAAGCCTGAACTGAGTTTAATTCTCATTACCACAGGGAAGGAGAGAACTGACAGCCTGAAGCTGTCCTTTGCCCTCCACATGCACACTGTGGCAAGGTGCACTAATATGTGTGTGCAAACACACACACACATACTCACCCCACACAAATAAATGAAATTTTTTAAAAATATAAGGCCATTTTTCTTCCTTTGCTAGTGTAAAAACTAAGCTATGGGGCAGGAGTTGTGTCCCACCCTCCTCAATCCAAGTAATCAGCATGTAGAGGCAAGTGGATCTCTGTGAGTTTCAGGTTGGTCCAGTCTACAGTGAGTTCCAGGACAGTTAGGGCTGCGTAGTAAGACCCTGTCTAAAATAACAACAGGCAAACAAACAAAGCTAAAAAATAAGCAATGATGCAATTGAAATTCTTTACAACATCTGAGTTCTCTCCAGGAAGGGTGCATAGGTGAGAAACCTCAGCATATATAATTATGTATATTTGTAAATACATAAATTATATATTGATGCTTAGATAGAGGCTAGGGTCTTGTTCATGTACTCTATCACTGGGCTACATTCCCAGATCACATGCAACAAGGATTTGTGGAATGAACAGAATGACAGAACAAGAACTATCAGATGTGGACAATGCATCTGGACACACAGGAATTCTGGAATACCTTGTAAAGGACAAAACCTGTGGGTTCCTTCTGTTCCCTGGATGATCTGGGCAGTATGGTCTTGAGATTCTACCCTGAAGTGTGCGGTTAGTTTTTGTCAACTTGACACACACTAGAGTCATCTGGAAGAAGGGGCCTCGACTGAGGAATTGCCTCCATCAGGTTGGCTTATGGGCATGTCTGTGGAGAAGTTTTCTTGATAATGATTGAGGCGGGAGGGCCCAACCAACTGCGGGCTATGCCACCCCGTCAGGTGGTTATGGGTGTGTAAGAGAGCAAGCTGCGTAAGCAACAGAGATCAAGACAGTAGACAGTAGCAGCATTCCATGGTCTCTGCCTCAGTTTCTCTCCAGGCTCCTGCCTTGGCTTTCCTCAGCCATGAACTGTAAAGTGTAGAAATAACACCCCACCCCCCAAGCCCACAAGTTGCTTTTGGTCATAGTGTTTACCATGGCAACAGAAAAGCATACTTGGACACAGTTCTTGGCCCATGTTTCTTCGTCAGAGTTTCTCCATATCTCATCTCTTTCTGAAGTTTGCAATATTTGCAGTTGTTGAGACATGTTGAGAGCTGAGGTTCCTCTAGCAATGCACAGGAATTCAATATTAAGGAGTGGAATGCTAAGTAGTTGAATACATGATCGTCCCATTTCCCCCACATCCCCTGTTCTCCTTTTCTAGAGTTGCATTCCTGTTACTCTGTTGGTGAAGTTGCATCTACAACAGAAATGTCCTCTGGTGTCCCTCCAGTGGTTGATCTATATTTGAAATGCCACAGCTGTTGCCATGTGGATTAGAAGAGGCGGCAGCTGATCAACACACAGCACAGGTCTTGGGATATAATTTATTCCATCTTCTCACAGTGAGTTCATTTCTGAACAGCTGTCCATTTCGGAGAACAGCATTTTCACCCACTCTTTTCAGACTGCCAACTGCAAGGTTTACTTAATTTTGAGGGCTTTCTAAATCCAGAAATTTAAGAGCTCTTTCATTTGGCCCAGTAAGCAAGGAGCTAATATTAGAGCTAAAGGTTTTAAAAGGAGTTGACTAAGGTCAAGATTTCCTGGTCTTGAAAGTAAAATGTCTTGGGCTGTGGAGCTCGGTGGTGAAGCACCTAAGAGTGTTTTCGCCGTCTCTTGCTACACAGTCCTCTCCGGATCTTGTTCTGTCACTAGCATTTGGGACGTGGAATCTTTGTTCCTGAGCAGAACTTGGTGGTGGTAATCTTACTTTTTCTGGGCCCATCATTTGGCAATGTATCAGGTGCATTCCATTTCATACTGGATTGTACTGGTCTCTGCCATCTTAGCCGCAGCGTGAGAACGGAAGGCTACCTTGCTCTCCTTTGATAACTACTGGTTGCGATCTACACTGACCATTAACTTGGTTCACTGTGTATATGCTGGGCTTTGAGTCATTTTTCTTCCCCTGGAGCTGGTGGAGAGTTTCAGGGCAGGGCAGGGCAGGGGGTGAGGATGGGGGTGTTAGATAGCTCCCAGGGTCGCTCAGACAACTCCTCAGCAGAAAACGTGCTTGTGGGCTTGGAAAGGCGCAGACACCTCCAATATTCACACCTTTGTCTTTATTTTTGAGACTGGGTCTTGCTATGTTCTCCATGCTGTCTTCCAACTAGTCGTTTTCTAGCCTGGAGTCCCAAATGAAAGGCCTGCCTGCCTCATTTTACCCCTTCCCTTCCGAAGCTGCACTTCCAAATTCCTCCGCCACGCGGCGGCACCCGTCAGTCGGCTGTGTCTGCGGTTCTGACAGGTGACAGGCTGGCTAGAGAGCGACCAGTGGTCTCCCGGGCAACCAACCACGTTTGCACGTAACTGGAACCGCCACCCTCGCTGGCTGGAGCCTCTTTTTCATCACGTGATCGCGCAGGATTGGGCAAGATGGGGCTTGAAATTCTTTTCTTGCAACACAATTATGTACGAAGTCCAAGTTTCCCTGGCCTGATTCTGAAAGGTCCCTGGGGGAAGGTGACACTGGGCGGAACCTCCCGGACTGGAAGGACCCGAGCTCAGACCTCCAGAGGGATCTGCCGAAAAGCTTGGCAGCAGCGGCAAGACCAGTAGCCTGGAGTGGCCAAGCTGGAGCTGGAAGTGGAGTTCCGTGGGTTCGGGGCCGCGGCTGCTGGGCAGCGCCTCCTCCAGGCCGAGACCCCGGCACAGAATGAGCAGAAGGCGGCGGCCTCCCGGCGGCGGAGGGGCCGGGCCAGGAGCGCGCTGCGCTGGTTCTCCACCGCGGTCCTGTATGCCGCCTTCCTGGGGCTGGTGAGAGCTGAGGCTGCGTCCCTGCCAGTGTGGGTGCGAGCCTCCTGCAGGCGACCTGCCCTTCCCAGCGGGACTCTCACCTTCGCTCCCCGCACCTTCTGTGACTTTGGCACTTTAGGCCCTTGGGCTATCTATCTCATGGGCGCTAATTTAATCATTGAGGGTTACTGTCCAGATCCAAATTGATTGTGCCACTTTCTAACTGCAGCAAACTTTCCTGGCATTGCCTGGATCTGTAGCCACTGCACTCCGAGTAGAACTTACTACACAATAAATTGACTTTTCTAACCATTCCACTTCGGTGGCCATCCACTTGGCTTTGCAAATAGGAAATAGGACCAAGAGGAAAGCGGCGTCATACAGGGGTTTGGTGGTGGAGCTGGAACATGTCTGCCTCTTCCCACGATTCTATTGAAATCAGTCCTGTAGCACTTTAAATGTTTCCTAGGGCAAAATGCTGTGTAAACTGTGGGAAATTCCTGTTACTTGGTAACTGGGATCTGGGGGAGCTGTGGGGTCGGGTTCCCCGAGAGAGCTCTTTCCCCCTCTTTGACAGCCTCCAGTTTTGAGAGACTGACTGAAACCTTAAGCACTGAAAAGCTTTTCTATCGCCACCATAATTGATTGCTCTAAAGAGAATCTCCATTCATTCATTGCATGGTTCTGTTTGCTTTGTTCTTGTTTCCTGTTTAAACTACAAAGGATGGCTGAGTAGGAACATTTACGTCCCACCCCATTTGGGGTGGGGGGAGCGGGTAGAGTCTTTTGTTATATAGCCCAGGCTGGTTTCAAATTCTGCATTCTCCTGCCTCGGCCTCCTGGGTACTAGAATTATAGGTATACCCCACCATGACCGGCCCTGTTTCTATCTCTTGCGGGAATATGGCACACTGGGAGATTACATGATGCTATGGAGAAAACAATGCCATGAAGCTCAACACGGTCCTTAATGGCTGTCTCTAGGAACCAAACTGAATATAATCAAATAACCCAAACATTACATTAAAAGAGAGTTCAAAGTACTCTATTTCCTGCTATTGGTCAGAATTTTTGTTTGGACTGTCATGGTGACTAAGGACCACAGCAGGCTGTGAAATGCGCCGACTTAGTCTTTCTGTAGTTAGCCTGGTAACACACGTGGGAACCTAGAGACACACTGAACTGCCATGACAAGGAAGTCTTAGGACAGCCAGGCTTGCCACCCCCATTCTGCACATCAGCAAACCAACTGAGCCGCTCCCACACACACTATGCCTTTCCCTCCTCTGAGAAGTTTCCTTAAGGCATCCATTCAGCAAGAGCACTGTCGGCTATTTTATTGATTTATTATTATTATTGTTATTGCTGTAAACTGAACCCAGGACCTTGTCCATTTAGCTTGCATGCTCTCCCAGCTGACCTATACCCAGCTCCTCACCCACCCTTTTCATTACTTTTTTTTTCTATACAGCCCTGGCTGATATGGAATTGCTATGAAGACCAGGCTTGTCTCAAAGTCATAGACAGTCACCCACTTCTGCCTTCTGAGTGCTGGGGTTGCTGGTGTGGGCTGCCACACTCAGCTTCACTATTTTTAATATAGTAGTGAAAATCAAGGGACAGTTGTGTACAGCATTCTATTTTACTCACACCACACACAAGCCCACATCAGAGGCAAGAAGAGCCAAAGCTAAATTTTGTTCCACTGACTGATGGACATAAATGTTCTCGTCTACCTTCTGAGTGCTTCCCACCCTTCTGAACAGGGAGATCTGAACTACTTCAACACACATTTCCCCAATCTTAAATCTTAGCTTCAAGTGCTGTACTACAGCACCACCTGTTGCCAGAGCGGATCCAGTCCAGGAATCCTGTTAGGACTGTTCTTCAGTGGCAGCTCAGCTGTTCCCTGCATGGCTGGAACTAATTTTGGGTATTGGCTGCTTTGGTATAATTGTGGGAAGTATGGAAAACTGCTCAGAAGGCAGGAGAGAGCCAAGTCAAACAGCAAGTTCTGATCGACCAGAAAAGCTGATGGAGTGGAGAAATTCCCCATAGACCAATCTTGGGCCTTGGAGACTGGAAAACATGGCTTCCTCGGGGCATTTGAGCAGAACGCAGTTAAGTTTACACACTGCTGAGTTTATGTAGATCTTGAATATGGTCCAATATAAAACATTTTTTGTGATCCTTTAGCATGAAGTAATGGTGCATAAGATCATTTAGTGGACAGACAACCTCCTGGACTTAGTGGTCACATAGATCATTCTTGGCCCTGTGTTCTCAAGGTCAACCTCTTGCAGACGTCACACAGACCAGTTCTCTGTATTTGCTGGTGTCTACATTAGTAACTGGAAAGCCAGGGCTGTATTCCCAACAAGTGTAGGAGGCACAGAGCAGTGATGTCCAACATATCAAAGAGAGCTTTCTCCTTTTCCTCTGGGGATTCACAGTGATGAAATAGAAACATGGAAAAATGTTGGCCATAGTGGTAGTGTTTCCTGATTTGGAGGCATTGATTAGCCATAAACCTGACAGCTGCTGCTTTTTGTTTTGTTGCATGGCATTAGCCTTGGTATATCCTCCATGGTGCTGTGTATCCTCCTGTAAGGAAAGGGAGGGCATCAAGACAGCCAGTGATGGGAAAGAAAAAGGTTTTGCAGATCTGTCTTGATTCATGAGTTAGCATGTCCCTACCTAGAATGGCCTCTACTACTCAGGAGAAACATTCCTAGTCAGGTTTGCTGTAAGGTTCCCAGAGGTGTATAGTTCCAAGAGTCTTGAGAGCTGTCAGTCTAGGAGTAAGGGCTCTGATGTTTTGGTGTGTAAATACTGGTGTGGTCTCTGGTGTGTAAATATGGGTGTGGTCCCTTCCAGCAGAGTCAGAAGGAGCCACTTACTGTGTTAATTCTAAAAAGACTGTTGTTCAGGATCCAGGTCATGAAAGTTCTCGGACTTCTTTTCCCTGGTGAATATACTTTGGCCTTACCTACTGAGTCATGTCACAGTTCATGTGAATGGAGTAGAGAGACCTGGGTGCTAATCACAAGGGATGCAGTCTTGCAGTGGCTATGTCACAAGGGCTAATAACTCTGTGGGAGTGGACCCAATTGCCACCAATTGGTAATGCCATTGAGGGCAATCTGGTTAATCCAGGCTTGATGCTACTGTGTTTGTGACACTTGTGCAGTGTGACAAGTATTGCTGCTGCTGGGGATCTTTGCAGGAATGCCCCTCGAGGAAAGCTCATTTTTTTTTTTTTTTTTTTTTTTGGTTTTTCGAGACAGGGTTTCTCTGTGTAGCTTTGCGCCTCTCCTGGAACTCACTTGGTAGCCCAGACTGGCCTCGAACTCACAGCGATCCGCCTGGCTCTGCCTCCCGAGTGCTGGGATTAAAGGCGTGCGCCACCACCGCCCGGCGGAAAGCTCATTTTTAATAACTGTAGCTATGGATAGCATTACCCGTTCTGTATAGGAAGCTTCTGTCGCCTAGGAGATAATCGCTGAAGGCAGATAGTGAGTGAATCCACACAAAAGTGTTCGAGGAGTTGCTACAGAATTATCCAAGGTTTTTATTCTCTTACCAGTATTATGGGTCTGACAAACCAAACATGAGCCCTTGTGCAGTTTTCATAGAGCGGCCACCCATTGATGTTTCATCGTCATGTGGGTCATTTCAGCTCTTCCATGAGGAGTCTTGGAGGGCAGAGCTTTGCTGTTGGAAGCTATGAGGACCCAGGAGCTCCAGACAGCCATCCAAGCTGTCCCTGAGCCAGAACTGCCAGGCTGAACCTCCTGCCTCAGCCTCCTGATTATTTAGGACTATACATGTGGGCCATTGTTCCAGGATCTTGTATGCACTTAAAGATAACAGCAGAATTATGACTGTTATATTAAGATTGTCACATTTCTATGAATCTCAAATAATTTCTGAAATATTAACACATTGACACAAATGTAACTTAAAGAGATTTTAACATTGTTTATTTGACCATGAGTCCCTTGTTATTTATCAAATATACCCAATTAATTTGCTATTTCTCTATTTCTAGAAATATAGATCATGGTTTTTTTGTGTTTGTTTGTTGTTTGTTTAGTTTTGTTTTGTTTTTCGAGACAGGGTTTCTCTGTGTAGCTTTGAGCCTTTCCTGGAACTCACTCTGTAGTCCAGGCTGGCCTCGAACTTACAGAGATCCACCTGGCTCTGCCTCCTGAGTGCTGAGATTAAAGGCATGTGCCACCACTGCCTGGCTACTAGATTATGTTTTTGAGAGAGCCCAAGAGACTTTCTGAAAGACCCCAAATTAATTCAAGGTAAAAAAATCATAATTTAATTTAAAGAAGGTCATAAAATATCAAAAGTTTAACACATTAGATAGAATTGCAGATCATTGTAAAAAAAAAAAAAAGTCTTTTATTTAACCAAAGTGGTATGAGCACTTCAAACTAACTTTTAAAAATCTCATAAATGTGGAATGATCTTAGGTCTATTAGAGAGGACTCAGTTTCCTTAAGTGATATTAAAAATATCATGAATACACCATGAAACACAGGAAATTATGTTGACCATTTCCTGTGACTTTTTGTTTCTTGGGCCAACCACCTCAAATGTAACAATAACAAAAAGATCCTTCACACTCCCCATTGAGCACCATCCTATACTCCAGGAAAGCAAGAAGACCAAATTCTAGTTTTTCAGTGAACCTTAGTATTAATGCTCCATTTCTAGGAAAACTTCCAAACAACTCTCTTCTACTCTCAGCTAGCTTGTCCACACAGAAGTCCTTTTCCCAAATTCTTCTTCTACATACTTCCTGCAATATTCTTACCCATTTTTTGGCCATATTGTTCTTAGTTTGGAGAAATAGTCCAACTTTAAGACAAAAGGGAATGCATTTTTCTTTCAATAATACATCTTCATACTTTACAGTGTTCCTTCCTGTCTTGGTGACTCTTTTAGTGCCATGACCATGACCAAGAAAACTCATAAAAGAGTGTATGTGGGGCTCACAGTTTCGAAGG